GTAGCACTTTAGCACTGTCCTCCCATTGTTCATCGATTTGCTCAAGTGGGCACCAGTAACGTCTCCATTGTGAGACTTGTTACTGTTTTGGACATAGCGAATGTGTCACGGGTAGCTTGCCAGGCTTTGCCGTGCGGGCGGGATATTCTTGGTAGCTTGCCAGGCTCTCTGAGAGAGAAGTAGGAATCAAACCTGGCTCGGCTGCGTACAAGGCCAATGCCCTACCGGCTGTGCTATCTCTCCAGCCCAATAGAACAGTATTTTCACAAATTAAACCTTGTGACCTACTAGTGCAAAGGATATGTAGATAAGGGATTCCTGATATCAATTGTTAATAGAAAATTTAGTTGTGTTTGATTTAGCTGGAGAGGGATAGATTGCTGAGGATTTCTTCAGAACCCTGGTTCTAGTCTTGGGATGATGGGGTTAACAAAAACAAGTTGACCTTCAATCATCAATCAGAAGCTTTCTTTATATACAAGACTTTCCTAAATTCTGTGAAGAAATAGTATTCCTGGTTTTACAGTTGAAGGAAACAGTGAAAGAAAAGTTAAACAGCATGCATAGGGATGGAATTAGAATTTTAACCCTTGTACCTGTGTTTCGGTCATGGTAAGGTATTTCTAGTTTACTATTAGTGTTAACTTCCAGGAATTTAAATTTTAAGTCACTAAATAAGGCCACTAACATTTTTTTGTGGTTACTTAAAAAAATTTATGTATTTATTTTTAATTTTTATTTATTTGTGCTTTTTGGGTTACACCTGGTGATGCACAGGGGTTGCTCCTGGCTCTGCACTCAAGGTAAACACCCTTCCAGCTGTGCTGTTGCTCCAGCCCCTGTATTTATTTTTTAAATCTTAAGCGTTGTAAATTATAGGCTATGACTGGACCTTTTGACTTTAGGCTTGAGATCAAATTAAGTTTTTCTAGACCTGAGGTTAAATTACTATATCTTCGAGCCAAGGAAATATCACAGGTTTAGCCACATCCTGGTTTGATCCCTGATATAACATGCTCACTGGACGTGACCCTAGGGCCCCAATCCCCTTGTAAGAAGCAGTAAAAAGAATTTCGGTTCAGTTTTTGTATTTTGATTGGCTATCCTTAAATATTTATTTGGAAGTCATGGATTTTATTTTGTTTTGGTTTGGGATCACACCTGGTGAAGCTCTGGGCTTATTCCTGGCTCTGCACTCAGGTTTAACTGCTGGCAGTACTGCTTGTAACCTTGAACCTCTCTACTTGGAAATCATTTGTATTATGACAAGTACACTGGGCAAAATTTCAAGTTTGAATCGGTGAGAGAACCCTCCTATAAAAAGTTTTTCTCTTCTTGCATCTATAGAGAAAAATCAGTGTACTGGAGTGCAGGATTACATGAATCTGTTTTGAATCCCCATACCTCCTAGAGTTCCCTGAGCACCACAAGGGGTCACTTAAGAACCCTAACCCTCAACAACAAAAGGTAGTGTAGGGCAGGAAAATAGCCCAAAGGGCTAGAGTCCATTCTGTCACCTAGAGGCTTTAGGTTCTTCTATGCCCAGCACCACGTGGTCCCTTGTACATCTGTCACCAGATCATCTTCAGCTAATGCTCAGTTAACCCTAGAGCATTGTTAGGTTTGGCCCTACAACCACACGCTTTTTTTTTGGACGGAGTGTTAATTTTGAAATTTAAATTTACAAAAGAGTAAAATTAGTAAGAGAATTCTTGTATCACTTCACACATAATTTTCCCCAAAATCTTATCATCTTACTTGGCATATTTATAGAAACTTTTCTTTTCTATACTCTTAGGAATCAATTATTACCTTCTACACTTAAGAGAAGGGAAGATTTTAGTACAGTGGAGAGGGTGCATGCCTTACATACAACTGACCAGTTTGATCCCCTGTATCCCTTATGGTCCTCTGAGCACTGCCAGGATTAATTCCTGAGTGCAGAGCCAGGACTAAGCCTTGAGCATTGCCATGTATGACCCAAAAAACTGAGAGAGACAGGGGTGGGGGGCAGGGGGAAGGCAGTGGGAGGAGAGAGGGAGAGAGGGAGGCAGAAGGAGAGAGGATAGAGATTAAGTTAATATCTTCCTAAGGCAGTCTTTCCCAAACTGGGCACTCCCCAAAACTACCCCCTTTCCAACTCAGAGCCATGGATGAATTCTGATTGTAGCCTCTGTAACAGTTGGAGGGTATTTGTTTATTCCTGGCTATGACTTACAGTCACAGAAATATTTCAGAGCAGTTTCAAATACCCGATCCTTGAACACTGGTATGTTAATAGTTTAGAAGTATGCTACTGTGCTAGGTAATTCTAAATGAAACAAAGCAAGTAACATAGTATTGATCATACAGGTAAGACACAAATAGTCTCAGAAGTTAATTTAAAGTGGATCAAAGGCCTCTATTCTATGGATCAGAGTTCATAAATAGACTAGTTAAATGCTTAAACTGAATCTCAAAGATCTATCTGTTCAGTGATATAATTGGCTACATCAAAATTTGTGCATTGCAAAAGAAAAGAGCTAAAAATAAGCATGCTGCTGAACGGAAGATACCGCACACAGTATTTTAAAGGACTAATGTCCAAGATATGTAAAGCTCTTACAGAAGGTCACTAACAAAGAAACCAATAACCCCTTCAAAAAGTGGAATGATTCCCAATTGTGCTACAAATTATTCTGTGGGTTCAAGGATTTCACAGGCAATCTTTTAAAAACTTACTCTTTTAGTTATTGTTTTACTTTTTTTGGCGGGAGGTATGCTGGGGGCTATTAGCCACATCCCTAGTCCTTAACCATCATTTATTGGGTTTGTTTTTGAGCCACATGCAGTGGCGTTCAGGAGTTACTCCTGACTCTGTCCTCATGAATTACTTTTGGTGGTGGTTGATGTTGGGGCGTCATAATTGTACACGGGATGGAACCTGAGTCGGCAGCACACAGACAAATACCTTTTCTTGTTCCCTGTGGGCTGCTGCTGGGAGTGATTCCTAAGTGCAGAACCAGGAATAACCCCTGAGCATTGCCAGGTGTGGCCCCAAAACAACAAAAAAGCTTTACACATTGGTCACACCTCACTTTTGGTAAAAGATTTTGGCATAAAATCCATGACAATTATGTGGTGAAATATGGTACTCTGGTAATTTGACAAAACCCCAAATAGTTTTTTTATGCTTTCGATTTTTGGACTATACATGGTGCTCAGGTGCTATTCCTGGCTTTGTGCTCAGGAGTAACCTGTGGCAGTGCTCAGGACTGTATGTGGTGGTTAGGATCAAACCATGTCAGTGGCCTACAAGGCAGGCTCCTTAACCTTTTTTTGTACCATCTGTCAGGGCCAGATGTTTTAAGTTGTGAGTATTCTATTACCCATTTTTGTTTTGTTTTGGTTATATATATTGGGTGTTGTGAGGCTATTCCATAGTCAGGACCTCAGCATGTGAAGTATGTTCTTCAGCCCTTTTAGCTGCTCTAGCTTTCTTGTAACCTAATACTAAACATCCATAGATTTTTTTTAAAGTCCCTTATTTAAAAATGATATAGTATTTGCATAGAGTCCATACACATTTCAGATCAACTCAAGTGTTTATACTTCCAGTACATTATAAATACAACGTAAGTTATACTATCATATTGTTTAGGGAATGTAAGAGAAAAGGAGCTCTAAAAATCTAGTGCATAGCCTTCACAAGCCTACATAGCATGTATTTTCAATTCATATTACATTGTTATCAGTGAATATGGAACCCACCTCAGTAGGTTCCACATTCACTTGTGTAAAAAACTTAAGTTTATGAATAAACAAAGGTAATCACTTAAAGTTTTACCTTATTTACATGTAATTATTATAATCTAGGTTAAAATTAGAGATCTGTTTGATTACCTTAGGGTAGCATTTTTTCAAAAGCAAGACATAAACTTGAAAATCAGGTATATTTTTCTAAAAATCTGTAACTTTGGGTTTTTTTTTTTTTCATTTTGAAAATGGCTTAAAAGAATGTTGTAGAACCAGTCAGAAGGGGGATGGATCATGTGAGATTCCTTTGGAGACTGGGTTTTTGAATCTCACATGCTTCAGTTTGTGAAGGAATACTTAGGAATGGATGGATTTTTAATTTGGCCTGGCACTGGCAAATATCCATAAAGAGCCTAGTCTTCTATGTTTTCTAAAGAGGGCTTTACTGCAAGTTCAGAATGTTCATATAATTTTGCATTTGCAAAACAACTGGATTTTTGCTGCATCTCTAGTTTACAGTACATATTCTATGCATTATGTGCTTTCAGAAAATAAGTGATTGTATTTTATTTCTGGGTGGTACTGGGGTTCCAACCCAGGCCTTCACACACATAGAAAAATTAATTTTTTAAAAGTTTTTACTTGGAGGATTACTATGAAATGATGATTTTAAGGAGCTGGGGAGAGAGTATAGGGTAGGGTTGCCTTGCATATATATATATATATATATATATATATATATATATATATATAGCCTTGCATATAGCCAGCCAGCTTCAGTTCCCAGCACTCCATAAGTGCAGAGCCAGGAATAATAAGGTCTAAGCACTGCTGGGTGTGGCCCAAAATAATAATAGTTTGATCTTGGTACTTAAAGGAGAGATTTGTTTCACTGGGAAGAACAATAGAAACTTAACTCCCCAAATTCTGATAATGCATAGTAGGGTTTATCTACCCTCTTTCAGCCTTTCTGAGATACTTACATTTTTTTTCTTTCCTTGGAAGTGTAAATTCACTAATCTCAGACATCATGGATGGAATTGCCTAACTTTCTTTTACATGATTCAGTCATTCTAATGATTCATCAAAAGGGTTTGTTGTTGGTTGCAGATTTGGTTTCTATTAAGTCATAACATGAGCTTTTCAGAAACTGAAATACTCCTTTGGTGAATGAATATTCTTGGCTATGTTTTTATTGTCATGAACTATAGTGCAATATATGTTTCATTGATGTGTTTTGTTTTTTTTTTTTGCTTTTTTTGCAGTGATTATTTATTCAAGTTACTTCTGATTGGTGATTCTGGTGTTGGAAAGTCTTGCCTCCTTCTTAGGTTTGCAGTAAGTTGAAATTTATAGAAATTAATGCTGTATGTTTTCTAGGAAAATAAAATTTAGACCTTTTGTTTCAGAAAGAATTATTTTTTTTCCAGAATTTGAATGTTTAAAGCATCTGTATATACATCCCCAGTTATATCTTGAACTCTTAAGTAGATTAAAATGTTATTGCTTTTCTAATAAATTAAGCAAAATACAATTATTGTCAGACGGTCTTGGTAAAGGTAAAAATGGTAATTAATTCCTACATACATAATGAGATAAAAGGAAAAATAATTGGCCTGCTTTGAAGGTGACTTGATGGAATAACTTTTCTAATAAAAATTTACGAGAATTTTTTTTAAAAAGCAGAGCATATTTTCCTTTTCACTGTGGAGATGATTCATTCTCACAGTATGGACCAGAGATCCCCGGCTTTTCAAGAACTACAAGGGGTTCAGGAAATTGAGACTGTTACCCACTAAGACAAAAGACATTTGCTTCTTTTTATGGTGCTGACATTTGCTGTGATGCAAAAGTAATGGTGGGTAAAACCTCTGATGTATTAGTATATATCAGGGTAGTGCTACACTCCAAACTGCACTTATTGTTAATGCTATTTATATCCTTGCACTAGCAAGAGTTTTCCCTTTTCTGAAACAGTAAAAATTACCTTTTTCTTTTCGTTCTTTTTTTTTAAATAATCTTTTAGAGTTTTATTATAGTTATTTAATTGCACCATTTAGATCTCCCTACTTGTTCTTAGGGCCCAGGGCCCACACCCTGATAGTACAGACCAGTTAGTGTTGGGCCCTAGTGATTATACCGCTGTGTTGGTGGGACTGCCTCGCTCTCACCTTGCCCCCACTGCTGGTGTAGGCCACTTCTGTGCTTTGAGTGTCCAGGGCATCTGCTTCAGCACTTTGAATTATCTTCCAGACCCCTTAAGTATTCTTTTTTAAATTTTGTGTGAAGAAGGCTGGTGATAGGGTCCAGTGATAGAATGGCAACTGCCTTATATGCTCGAGACCCTGGACTCCATCCTCAGTACCATGGCAGCTTGCGCTGATAGTGCACAGTGATACTCCCCTGGTTGGGGCTACATCTGGCAGTACTTATATGTGGGGTCACTGGGGATTGAACCTGGTGCTGCAGTATGCAAAGCACACCCTAGCCCATTGAGCTATTTCCTTGGCCCTTAGCATTGAGCCCATCTTTACTGGCAGAACTTCCGAGGTGGTGCTTTGTTTGCTAGGATAAGACTGTACTGATTGTCTGATCTTTCCATTCAAACTTCTGTTCACAAATGTTTTCACTTAGAGCTTTAGGACCATGGAGAAAGCTCATATGGCTAGAATGGAATGCTTTGCAGGTAGGATACCTAGTTTTGATCCCCTATACCATCGGGAGCAACCCCAGGGCACCACTGGGTGTTTTACTCCATCTGGCACCCCCCACACCCCTTTGTTTCTATTCTGAATGGAATGTTGTAATGCATACTGAAAAGAACAGGTGGAACTTTTAAGTTTAATGTTGTGTTACATTTTGTTCATACAGAAACTTGTATATCTCTGTTTATAGAAGCAATTTTTGTTTTCCTGGATAAACAGAATGTAGTGTATTTATACAATTTACTGTTTAAGTACTGATGAGCATGGATAGCCTTTATAAAATTATAAACTGAAAGAAGCTTGACAACAAAAGGCTGCATAAAAAGTTACGGTATTCTTTTGATTTTGGGCTACACCTAGTGACGCTCAGGGCTTATTGCTGGCTTTGCACTCAAATTATTCTTGATGGTGCTAGGGGACCATATGGAATGCTGTGGATCGAACCTACATTGATCATGTGCATGTACTGTAGCTCTAGCCCCAGTTACGATACTTTTTTAATGAAATTTACTGAATAGGCAAATTCATAGAGACAGTAGATAAGTAATTCTGGGGTCTGAGGAAATTGGGAGAGACTGCTATTGGATGCAGGGTTTCCTTTGGTTTGATGAAATAGACTAAATAGTAGAGGTGAATTTTACGTTAGGTGAATTTTATTTCAACTAAAGTATTTTCCTAAAATATAATCCATGAGAGTGATATGATCGTTGCTTTGTGGTGAATATATTTGGTTGGAAGAGAAGAGGAAGCAAGAATTGATTAGCAGTTACGAAATTTTTTTTTTGGTAGCCCCAATACTTTGCACATTTAAGAAAAATTCCACAGATTTACATCTCCAGCCTCCAAAACATTGGAAGTATAAAACCTTTTCCTAGGTGATATACTGGAGTGGGATAGAATGTTGTTCTTCACATGTCATGCCTTTATAAATTTTGGCAACTTTGTAGATAAAAATAAACATTTCTTCTGTTAAACATTAATTATAATTCAACTATTTTTTCCTCCAGGATGATACTTACACAGAAAGCTACATCAGCACAATTGGTGTGGATTTCAAAATAAGAACTATAGAGTTAGATGGGAAAACAATCAAGCTTCAAATAGTAAGTAAAATTTTGTAACTAGAAAATTTATTTGGAAATTATTTTGGTAAACTTAGAATTCATTCTTTTTAAAATACCTACAACTTAAATGTGAAGTACCCTAATCGTGCATCTATGAATGATGGAATTGTTTAGATTGAAAAGGATTTATCTGAGTGCCTTGTCAAAAATAAGTCTAATTTTCTTGTACTTTTACCAATGGGGTCTAAGTTTACTTACTCTTATCATCAGAGTGTATTTGACATTTTTGGTTGTATTTTACTGTGAATACTGTATTATTGAGAAATTTTAGAAAGATCCTTTATATGTGATGTAGTTGAAGAGTAGTTCTTATGTATTAGTCTGTACAATTCTTTTTTTTTTCTTTTGGGTCACACCCAGCAATGCACAGGGGATACTCCTGGCTCTACACTCAGGAATTACTCCTGGCGGTGCTCAGGGGACCATATGGGATGCTGGGAATTGAACCCGGGTCAGCGGCGTGCAAGGCAAATGCCCTACCCGCTGTGCTATCACTCCAGCCCCTAGTCTGTACATTTCTTTAGAAACAGAATCTTGTTGGAAAGTAACTTAGATTTTCTAACATGTTTGTTTTGTAGATCATAAAATGTACGGTGAGAGTTTTATTAACTTGCTTATAGTTACTAGTAGAATCAAGTGACCCATGGTGTTCTTTCTTCAATATTTTGTGTTCCCGAGTTATTCTAGCCCTCCCATATTACCTAACTTTATATTTCCAATCCTTAATTTAAAAATAGGCAATTGCTCAAAAGGAGAGATGGGGGGGGAGAGAGAGAGAGAGAGAGAGAGAGAGAGAGAGAGAGAGAGAGAGAAACAGACAGACACAGGCAGGCAGGCAGACAGAGAAGCAGGCTGGAGAGGAGTGAAAGGTGGGGAGTGATGGGAAGGAACCTGGGGACTTTGGTGCTGGGAAATGTACATTGATGGAGGGATAGGTGTTGGAATACTGTTTGACTATAATGAACAGTGATTCAATAAAAAAAATTAATTAAAGAAAAAAATAGGCCATCATAGGGCAGTTGGTACAATTTAACCAGTGTGGAACTATCTTTGATCTGTAAAAATATTCTGGGCATATTTTATTTTATTTATTTATTTTTGGCTTTTGGGTCACATCCAACAATGCACAGGAGTTACTCCTATCTTTGCGGCGGTGCTCAGAGGACCATATGGGATGCTGGGAATCGAACCCAGGTCGGCTACGTGCAAGGCAAATGCCCTAGCCACTGTACTACTGCTCCAGCCCCTCTGGACATATTTTTTTTTTTTCTGGGCATATTTTAAAGTTGGCTATTGGAATACAGGGTAACATAGAAAACAAGTGACTTTTTCTTTTTTATCTTGAAACTGATGGCACACTGAATTGGAAGGAATTTTAATTTACAAGTTTTTACTTAGAAGTTTTGAATCTTGTTTGTGTGTTGGAACCACTTGGTGGTGCTCAGTTCTATTCCTAGCTCTGTGTGCCCAGGAGTAATCCCAGGCAATAAATGCCCAGAGTTGGGAATCAAACCCCAGTCCACTGCTACCAAGGCAAGTGCCTTAGCTTCTGTACTGTTGATATAACATGCATAGGTGAATAGATTTTAAAAAATTGCTTCCCTTAATAAAGTAGAAAAAAGGTTTTTTGCTTGATTTTGAACCACACATTGCAGTGCTTTGGGATGACTCCTGGTTCTGTGCTTATGAGTTACTCCTGGTGTTCAAGAACCATATGGATGCCGGGGATTAGACCTGGGTGGGCCATATGCAAGGCAGGCACCTTAACCTCTGTACTATCTCTTCAGTCCGTTTCAGCTTTCCTTGTTCAGTATCCCATCTGTGTCTTTATTAGACTTGGAGATTAGAAAACATTTAGCAAGTTAGAGGAAGGGCCAGTCCTATACCATGGAACTTTTTGTGATCACTCATTCATGAAGCATTTATGGAAATTCTCAAATTACACCAGGAACTCACATCAACTCAGGGATACAAAATGAAACATCCCCACAGGAGATTGAGTTTTAGTGGATGAGACAATACTGTGAAATCAATTACAGTGGGATTATTATGGATAAGGAGTTTCCCAAGTGTCAAGGAGACATCGTAAATTTTACTTGTTAAAAGCTATAGCTATAATTCTTTGTTAATGTGCATCGAGGAACTCTTGTTGTCTCTGTATAGAGTCTGGTGGGCAGAGAAGGGAAGTATTTTATTGAGCAACATCTATAATTAGACACTGTGGTAGGCATTTTACAGACACTAGAAGTTCATTTAAACTCCCTAAACAATTCTGTAAAATGAGCGGTGTCTAGGATTCACAGATTTTAAAAAAGCTGTTAGGTGATTGACTTTCCCATGAATATAGATTTGCAGTTTTGTCAGGCTGGCTTGATCCCAAAGCTCAAGCTTCTCCAAAGATATCCTGCAAGATTTTGCTCTCTAATCTTCCAAGATCTGTCTGGTACTTTAGAAGGAAAGGTAATGAAGCTGTAGTGACTTGTCCTTAGTTTTAGATTAGTCACTGTTAACATTTTACCTTAACTGAATAAGTTAATCACACACATTATGGAATTCTACTTCACAAATAATTTAAAGGCCAGGGATCTGGCACAGCATTGTAAAGTTCATGCCTCACCTGTGTGATATTCTGGATTTGATCCCCAGCACTTTGAAAAACAAAAACCTCAACATAACAAATTTGACACTAAAGTCGTGTACTGCCTGTATTCAGGTATCTCCCTCATTGCAATTTAGTTTTTATCAGCTCTTTTGGAGGTTGGATCTTAAGCAAAGGAAGTGATATTAAGCAAAGAAAGTGATTTTTTTTGCATGTTTGTGTGCGTGTGTTGGGGAGGGAGATAAGAGGGAGGAGGAATGCCTGTCATGTGTATTGATGTCAGTTTAGTTAGGCTATTTTAACATTACAGTTCCCTTCCTCTAAAGTGATTGTAGCTTATTATCTATTTATTTTAGTCAAATTATTTTTTTCCCCCACAGTAATTCTTAAATAAACATTTAAAATTCTCCATTAATCAGTAAGTTACCTTGTTGGGCCAGAGTGATAGTACACTGGATATGGTGTTTGCTCTGCAAAGCGGCTGGCCATGATTTGATCCCCAGCATCCCATTAGATCTCCTGAGCTCTGCCAGGCGTGCCCCTAAGTGCAAATCCAGGATTAAGTCCCAAGCAACTCCAGTTGTGACCCCAAAACAAAAACAAAAGATTTATCTTTTATCTGTTAGTGGGGTAAGTAGGTTTTCTAATTACATAAAAACTTTTAAGATCATTATCTAGAACATGCAGGACTGTGCTATTGGTCAACATGGCCGACCCGAGTTCGATTCCTCCGCCCTCTCGGAGAGCCCGGCAAGCTACCGAGAATATCTTGCCTGCACGGCAAAGTCTGGCAAGCTCCCCGTGACGTATTCGATATGCCAAACACAGTAACAACAAAGTCTCTAATGAAGACGTTTATTGGGCCCACTCGAGAAAAATCGATGAACAACGGGAGGATAGTGATAGTGCTATCTAGAAGCAGTTTTAACAAAATTCTCATCACCAAGAATGTAATTCTGACAGTTGAGTTTTCCTTTGATAATTTTAGCGATTTTTTTTAAAAAAATGCAAGCATTTATTTTCAGTCTAAATTGTTGAAATATGGTAAGGTGCTTTTAAAATGGTTCAGGTACTATTTGGTAGTTATCTGGATTAAGTTGTTTCATTGCTTTCCATGATGGTAAAATGTACTTGCAAGCGATTCTGTCTTTGTGGGTATGTATTGTGTTAAAGAAATTGGGTTCATAGCTTTTTTTTTTTTTTATCAAGTCAACTTACTCTGTATTCATTTTTAAGCCTTGCACAATGCTAACGGCTGTAGGTAATATGACAAGTATAATACAGTTCCTCATTCCAGAGAACATGAATTTTAGTTTAATTACCATAAGCTAAATTGTAGTCAGTACCTTCTTTTCACAATAGCACAGTGGGTAAGGTGTTTGCCTTGCACTTGGCCGACATAACCAACCCGGGTTCAATTCCTCCACCCCTCTCGGAGAGTCAGGCAAGCTACTGAGAGTATCTCGCCCGCACGACAAAGCCTGGCAAGCTACCTGTGACGTATTCAGTGTGCCAAAAACAGTAACAACAAGTCTCACAATTTGTTGTGAGATGTTACTGGTGCCCATTCGAGCAAATCGATGAACAACAGGAGGGCAGTGCTACAGTGCTACCTTCTTTTCTGAACATGCATTTTGGCCATTATCAATGCAGTTTAGTAGTATGAACATTTAGTGCTAATGTTTCCATTTCAAAGCCTCATAATATGACTATATGTAAACTAAACTCTTCTCCCTCCTCTTTGCCATTTCCTAACTCTGATGGAATTGTTTGGATTTCTTGATTGTTTTTTAATAGTGGGACACAGCAGGCCAAGAAAGATTTCGAACAATCACCTCCAGTTATTACAGAGGAGCCCATGGCATCATAGTTGTGTATGATGTGACAGATCAGGTAAGTTTCAGGGGGAAATCGTGTTATGGGGCAAAGTAGGGAATACTTGTTATAGAGAAGTTACTGTTTGTCAAAGATGATGTTCATTTACTTTATATAGAAATATTTTTTATATAGCAGAAATTTCTGTCCCTCTCCAATAAGTGTATAACACTAAAACATTTTAAAGCATTAATCTTTCAAAAACAGGTGCATTATTATCTTTCATCCTTCATTTGAATGGATTGATCAACTAAAACTGTCTTATTTGCCTTTGGTAAACAGAACATTTAGTAATCAGTTTTACATTTGCTTTCAAGAGACTGGTTATATTTATCATAAACTAAAGTAATCATTTGTCCAGGGTTTATAAGGAACTCTTGGTTAGTACTGTGTTTGTGTTCTTGGTGTTAATTATTCACAGGAATTTGCCTGGTAATTAACCTATCAAAGTTGCCAAAAGCAGAATGGGGGTGGGGGCTTCTCTGCCTGTGGAGGATGTGGGTCAGGACACATATAATGACATTGTAATAAAATAGCAAATAGCTGAAGTCGTGATGTGCTTTTGCAAGAAGGTATGGGGATGCAGAGACAGAGTGTATAATTTGTCTTTTTTTTTTTTTATCAGAAACTGTCCCTTTTGGTCAGAAAGAAAATTTCAGGCTCCCTTTTTTCCTATCAAAAAGAAAAGATAAACTTCGAAAATTTGAATTTCTCACGTAGCAAATGTAATGTCAGGTCAATTGTAAAGTTACTGATTTAGTACTTAAATAGAATCAAACTTAGATTGTCAATAGAAGTGCTGGAAAAGTACTAACAATTGGAATGGGGAAAATGCTAAACTCAACTTACAATGGAATATTTAAAAGTCAAATGTTTTTCCCCAAAACAGGGACTTCGAAACTTGTTTATAGATCCATTTGTTGTTCAGATGCCAGGGGTCTAATCCAGGGCCACTGGATTAAATCCTGGGCCCATAAACAAAATTTTTATTAAACTTTAAAACCATTTTTGCATATTCTAGAACTACTGGATTTGCGTAAGAGCTGTAGTTTAATATTGAGCTACGTTTCCCTCTCTGATAATGTATTTTCATCCTTAAGCCTTGCAAATTTTAATTTTTAATTCATTTAGGTATCTAAAGTCTTTAATTTTGAGGATGCTCTATGCTTATATTTAGCGATCCTTCTTGTGATATTTAACAGTTTCATACTAGGGTCCTGTGATGTAGTCCTGCTTATGGATTCACTAGGGCCAATCTCTGTGGTGCTTGGGGGCCTCCAGTGTTGCACCTTGTGGTGTGTGGCATGTGATGCTACGGTAGCACTTGAGGCATGTGTACATAAGGCTTGCATCTTAACTCCTAAGCCATCGCCCTGGCACCTATATATAGCAGTTTTAATCTATCATCAGTTTACTTCTTTCCCAGCACTACTGTTACAACCTATTTTGTAGCTAGAGTTGCTTCACTAAGTCAAAAAAGCATTTGTTAATCACTTGCTTTATTAGACCAGTTGTGTTCAGAACCATGTTATAATTTTTTTAAAATACCTTTTCAGGAATCCTTCAATAACGTTAAACAGTGGCTGCAGGAGATAGATCGTTATGCCAGTGAAAATGTCAACAAGTTGTTGGTAGGGAACAAATGTGATCTGACCACAAAGAAAGTTGTAGACTACACAACAGCAAAGGTAGGTCTTCAAGTTTGACTTTCAAGTTGTTTGATTTGAATTACTCATGGCTATGACCAATACAGCAATCATAGCCACTTTAGCTTTGGAAATACGTGCACTGAATAGAATTTCTGACAGTGACATTTCATGTAGCCAGGCATGCTCAGATTTGAGGACTTAACCCTTCCTCACTTTCTATTTAGATGATAAAAACGCACTAAATAAAAAATATTATTGTTAATTGTTCCTTATTATTTTCTTAGGAATTTGCTGATTCCCTTGGAATTCCATTTTTGGAAACCAGTGCTAAGAACGCAACGAATGTAGAACAGTCTTTCATGACAATGGCAGCTGAGATTAAAAAGAGAATGGGTCCTGGAGCGACAGCTGGTGGTGCGGAGAAGTCCAATGTTAAAATTCAGAGCACTCCGGTCAAACAGTCAGGTGGAGGTTGCTGCTAAAACTTGCCTCCGTCCTTTTCTCACAGCAATGAATTTGCAATCTGAACCCAAGTGAAAAAAACAAAATTGCCTGAATTGTACTGTATGTAGCTGCACTACAACAGATTCTTACCGTCTCCACAAAGGTCAGAGATTGTAAATGGTCAATACTGACTTTTTTTTTTATTCCCTTGACTCAAGACAGCTAACTTCATTTTCAGAACTGTTTTAAACCTTTGTGTGCTGGTTTATAAAATAATGTGTGTAATCCTTGTTGCTTTCCTGATACCAGACTGTTTCCCGTGGTTGGTTAGAATATATTTTGTTTTGATGTTTATATTGGCATGTTTAGATGTCAGGTTTAGTCTTCTGAAGATGAAGTTCAGCCATTTTGTATCAAACAGCACAACCGGTGTCTGTCACTTTCCATGCATAAAGTTTAGTGAGATGTTATATGTAAGATCTGATTTTGCTAGTTCTTCCTTGTAGAGTTATAAATGGAAAGATTACACTATCTGATTAATAGTTTCTTCATACCTGCATATAATTTGTGGCGGCAGAATATTGTAATTTGTTGCACACTATGTAACAAAACAACTGAAAGATATGTTTAATAAATATTGTACTTATTGGAAGTAATATCAAATTGTATGGTGATAAGTATTGTTTCAATTCTAATTCTTATGGTTAAAGGGAAATAGAACCTTGCATTATATCAAAACAGCCTCTTGTGTGTGCAACCAGGGCATATAGACTATCTTATATCTTAGAGCAGTATCTAATATGCTTTCCAGATAATACCCAATAAATGACTTAGGGAGGCTTATGTGTTCTGAGATTTAGCCAGACTTAGTGGTTCAGGGAGATTAAATTTTATGGGAAACAAGTGTAGAATATATGCTATCTAGCCTATTAGTACCTTGATCCTTCTTTAAAGCTATTTGAAATGGCTTCATTTTGTTAATTCATCTGTGGTAGAGGTGGAAAACAGCACAGCTTTTTTTCCCCTAATTGGCAAATGATCAGACTGCTGTGTTGATGCTGTTTTTAATCCATGCTCTGAGTCAGTTGTCAACTGTGTTTGGAGGAGACTTAAAACATTGAAGTAGAGAGTGAGAAATTTATTGTGATTGCCCTAACTTTAGAAATTATATCCATACTGAAAACATGAATGCTGGGTAGAAATAAACGAAAGAAATATATTTATTTCAGTGGAATTTTGCACATGTGAAAATTTTGTTAAATAGGACCTTAAAAGATTCTAGGGTTTTGAGGGAAACAAATCCTTTGCTGACACTGGCATTTTAAAGTGACAGAAATCAAGGGTTGTTTCTTAGGCTGGGAGTGGGAGGTTGGGGTTGGGGCTGAAGTGAGGTAGCAGCAGCCAAAATATTATTTTAGACCTGGCATGTGGCTATTGACAACAGAGTTAGGTTTCTTCTTTAATTCAATGATAAAAATTTAAACTAAAACAAGCCAAAAATTAATAGGTTCCTTTATTTTCACTAAACAGGCAATTGAAATACATGGTACAAAAATAAGTGGTAAGATTATTGTAAAACGAAATGGACAGAATATTCAAATTACATTTTCCATCTATGAGAATTTCACAATAAAATCATAGTTTACTTTGTATTATAGACGTGCTTGTTGGATCTATTTATCCTTTTATAAGGCAGCTGAAAAATTCCTGAAGTTAACAGTGGGTATTTGGGTTAAGATCTTTTTTTAATACTTCAAATAGGTTTATTTTTTGCCTTATCAATACAATACAATGGGGGGGGAGGGAAGAGTTCAGAAACAATTTTCGACATATATCAACTGATACAAATGTTAGTGTAATGCCATGCACTTTTAAGCAGCTTTACTCAAACTTGGGTGTTATAGCAAAAAGTTACATAAATGTAAGGTTAAGTGTATTTACATACTTAATTTTGAAAGTTCGATTCTTTTCTCCATGAGTCAATAGTCTGAGTCTTAAGCAAGACACTTCAGCATGCTGCACTATTAGCTTTTATGAAATGCCAACAAATTCCGTTTTGAAAAACATTTCTAACTCCAAATACAAATATTTCAAGCCAGTGGTTAAAACAGTTTAATAAAATCTAATCCTCCCAAAAGAATATTTCATTTTTTTCTTTACAAAGGGTAGTACTGATTTTTGTGTTTTAATTATAATTGGTGGCCATAAATTAACTTGAACAAATGAAGTCTTATAAACTTAAGCAGTGACAAGCTCTAGGAAAATCCTGCAGAATGATAGCCATCACTGAGTGAAATTTTCTTTATGCAACAAACCCTTTATGTTCCCATTTAAATTTCAAAACTGCCCTGTATTGGCTGAGAGCTGGGAGCTTAGAGCAGCAGCCAGATGTGAACACTGCCAATCCAGCTTTTAGTACTGTCTTTTCCCTGTGGAGTTTGGTTCTGTCCATTTAAAGAAGTACTATGGATTTCACTACAGGTAAATGGGGATTTCTTAACCATGGTTGTCAGTGCCCAACCAAGATATTTGACTCAACCTGGCCATACCTACACATGGAAACTTTTCTGCTGGTGGCATCTTCCTAGGCTAAAAATTTTAGCTTGATTTCAGGGGAGGTCTTAAGACTTGTTAAAGTACCACTTTACATGAAATTTAGTGTGCTGTGCTGCTTCTTGGGGACATTGACAGCTAGGTCCAGATAGCACCGTTGACTGTACCTTATTTCAAAGGAAATGAACAAAAATAATCCTAGACATCTCAGTAAACTAGTACTTGAAACTTTTTGGGGGTTTTTTTTTTTTTTTTGGGCTAACAAAAGAGCCATTTTCATGCCTATCAATTAACTCCTAAAAGTTATCCTGTGGGAAGGCATGTATGATATATAGCCATAGCAAATAAGAGGTAAAATATGTATCAATTTAAGTAAAGATACCATCAGATATATCTATTTTTAATACCAGTCCTGGGCATTTAAAAAATGTTATAGGGGCTGGAGGGGATAATAAAAGGGTTAAGGCACTTGCCTTGGGTGCTGGCAATCCTTGTTTGATCCCTGGTTCCACATATCTGCCCCTAGCATCACTGCGAGCAACCCCAGAGCACCATCAGCTATGTATGATCAAACACCTAATCCTCCCAAAGAAGATTTCATTTTTAAAAATCTCACTATATTAACCTAAGATTAATAGGACATAAATAGCACAGTGGTAAATCACAGTAACAGGCACTTGAAATAGCCCATCTTATATGCTATTCTTGAATCTTACCTAGTTCTTTATAGTTAATCTTTAAATATTTTCCAGTTGCTAAAAAGTTTGAGATACTTTAAAGAAGAAAATTGATAACTCATAAGGAGGTGCACAAGGCAACATTATAAGATCGTGAGGCTTAGGGCTGGGGGATACTGACTCAGTGGTAGAGTGAATGTTTAATGTATGAGGCCCTAGGGTCAAGCCCTAGCACTGCATAAACATTTGTGTGCTTTAGTTCCCAACTTTAAAGCCCTAAATTTCTTTAAAGGAAGGTAATTTCACAGTTTGTTCTGAGAGAGAGACTATTACAGGTCTGCATTTGAGTTCCAAATTGCATAATGTTCCAAAATTATGCTCTGAGTTCAAGATGATTTGTTCATCTCGTTAATAAGGTTAGCCCTCCTCAAGTGAGAATCTGGAGTTTGCCCATTATATTACCAAAGATTGGAGGCTGGGGAGGAGGTTGGGGGATGTGTTTTCCTCCCATGTTTATGACCCAGTTAACCTTTTTGAAAAATGGAGAAAGTCATGCTTTTGTTTTTGCATAATTTGGTTACCACCATTAGCCAATCATTTTGCTTTAAAATATTACAAATTAGCTCAGCATTAGAGCGTTTGCCTGCATGTGTGAACTCCTGGGTTTGAATCACAGAACCAAACACAAGGCAAAGAATTGACTCTTAAGTGTCTGCTTAAACGTTTTTTTCCTATCAGGCTACTTAGAGGTCTACTCCCCATCAACAAAGAGGTCCCCTTCAGTATTTTTAGCCTAGTTTCTGTAGTTAATGAGGCTGGATGATGCTACGGATACTCTTCCCTTCCCTGACCTTGAGCTTACTTGTCCAAGGGGATGGAGAGGAGGAGACCAGTATGGAGGGGTGCATCATTCTAGTGGAACCCTTAAGGTGGATAGATAATTAGTCCAAAGCTGTTTCTGCTCATCAGCACTTTACCAACTCTTTGCCAATTGTTTCCTTCTCACGTTTTGTTTTAAGGTTTACTTAGGTAGGTGGATCCCTAAGTCTTGAAGGTGCCAAGGTGTCCTAACATTCCCAAATATTTTGCAGAGATTCATTTGATTGTAACAGTCTATTAATCTGGAGGGTTAAAGTCTCTTCTAATATCTTGAGTAGCTTATAAACCTAATTTTGTGAAAAGACTCAAAAGATGTCTTCCTGACCTTTCACTTTTTCAGTCTCTTGGGTTCTAAAATGAGTAAGTATAAGCTTTTCCCTCTCTCTTGAAATAGAGCCATCATATTTGGCAGGCTGTTATTTTGTATTTTTGAGCCACACACGTCAGTGCTCAGGAATCACTCCTGGCAGGGGCATCAAACTGGGCTGGCCTCATGCAGCAAATGCCCTACCTGCTGTACTTTTTCCAGCATTGATGTATGTGTGTGTGCATACACACACACACACACACATACATATATATATATTTAGGTCATGGAACACAATTTATATGTAATTTTTTTTTAAGTATTCCCAGGACCAAAAAATTACACGCCAAAATCATGCCAAGTGGGAATATTCTACTTTAGGAGTGCAGGGGGAGGGGAACACTGGACAGAACACTCATGGCCTATCTCTGACACTGTTGTATGTCAGCTATGGGGCCAGACGGCAGTACTCAGGGCTTACTCCTGGTTCTGTGCTCAGAGATCACTCCTTGTGAGCTTGGGGGAACACATGGGGTGCTATTACGGGATTAAACCTGGGTTGGCTGCCTGTAAGACAAGCCCCTTACCTGTTATAATCTCTGGCCCCTTTAAATGATCTCAGCAGGTAGTTTTAGGCTTTGTTTGTTCTCTGGGCAGGGCTGGAGCATGCACCTGGATTCTCAGCCACTTGGGTCAGGTCTGGTGGATGCTCAAGTCCATGTGGTGCCAGGGACTGAACCTGGCACTGGCCACATGCAAGGCAAACATCTTAACCCCTTTATTATTTCTCTGTTCCTCCTCTTTTTTTTTTTTTTAACTGGATAAAGGGTTATAATAAAAACATTCTTCCTAGCATTTTATCAAAACTGCAAAGCCAGTTGTATTTGTAGAGAAGCACCAAAAGGAAAACCTTAGTTTGGGAAGGATTTGTTTTAAATTAAAAAAAGTAATTTAACAACCTTACTTAAGGGAAGAGAAAGGCATTCTAAAGCTCTAGTACATTAGAGGTGTTTCCCTCTTGATAGTTCAGTGTTAACATGGCTCTTACTGAAAGAACTTCCTGAAAGTTTCCCACCAACCAGATTTTGACTTCATAGATTATATCTCTGCCTGAGGAGATGCCTGGAAGAGAAGAAACATAAGTTATAGGTAGAATGCTGCAGAGGAAGAATCGACACCTGCAGTTACCAGCGTTCATTTCAAAACTCAACCATTGCTTATATTTCTTTGATGCGAATACAGGGACTCCCCAGTACTTGATATATATGGACCTTATCCATTAACTTGTTTACAGTGAATCCCCTCTACATCCCCGCATCTCTTCTAGAAAATCTCTTAAGCCCCACATTTTACACGTAGGAGAGTAGGTTCAGAGAAAGCAGAATCCCTTGTGGAATTACAGACCTTGGGTACGGAGGATGCCAGGCCCCCCTGCTCTGCTCTTAGCCTCCCTTCCCAATCACTGCTTGACTTTACTCAGAAATAAGAAAGTTGTCCTGTTAAGTGTCCAAGGTATGTTAGCCCACCTATCCCCTGGCCCTTTTATGAGCGGAGTGATAGGAAAAATTTATAGAAGGGTGGGTGCAGGGCGTGATCAGTAACTGATCTCTACGGCTGTCTGGTGCCATCAAGAATCACTTGGTGGGCCAGGATAGCACAGCATATTTGCCTTGGCATGTTTCATCCCCCGCACCCCATATCACAGACTGCTTGGAGTCATCCCTGAGTGCAAAGCCAGGATTAAGCCCTGCATAGTGCCGGGTGTGGCCAAAAAAAAAAAATTGCTTGCAAGGCTGGAGAAATTGAACAGAAAGTAGTTGCCTTGCATGCAGCCAACTCAGGTCCAATCCCTGGCACTACATCAGCCCCTGAGTACAGAGCCTGGAGTAAGCCCCAAGCACCACCAGTGTGACCCCAAAACAAAAATAAAAACTGCCTGGTGCTGAATGAGTTGGGGCAAGCAGAGCAGGAGCAGCCTTTCATGGCCTTGTAAATGTGCATGAGCAGACATTTTAAGAATCAGTATATTGCTGCTACTGACCTTGGGAATGGGGGTGGTAAGGGACCATCAGAAGCGGGGGGTATTGAACCACGTGAGTAGCAAAGCCCTGTGGTAAGGCTTTCTTTATCACCGGGTAACCCTGAACCATACGCAGTAGCTCCCCTGTTCAGTACCAGGGGCTTCTCCCAGCATTTCATCTGAGATATGGTGAATTGCCAGGAGCCCTATATCTTACGTGAGCATAGAGCTGCAGGAATAGATTTTCCTTCTCATTTTATACTCACCAGGCTGAACTTCAAGTCCGTGTCTGGGTGTGTCCTCGGTGTACTCTGTGGGATGAGAGTGCAGCCAGCCAGCACATCCAGGGAGGCAAGGAGAGAGTCATACAGGTGGTCTGCATGGCTCTCCAGCGCACTGGGCTGCTGGGAGATTCTCTCGAGGACATCTTTTAACACTGACAAGTACGGTTCAAAGCAAAGCAGTTAGGCCCCAAAACCATGTAGACTTATTTAAAAAAAAAATACGGAGCTCATTAGACTGTGACAATTTTCAAAATGTCCACTGTATGTGTGTGTGTGTGCATATATATATATATATATATATATTTTTTTTTTTTTTTTTTTTGCTAGGGGCGTTTTGCTAGGGGAGTTCAAGCTCGGGGCCTCAAACATATAAGGCATGTGCCGTACCATGGAGCTTCATCCTTTCCAGTCTTAACTGTGATAGCTTAGGAACTGCTCTTGCACACAGGAGAGAGGGTCTATGTTAACTCTGATCAGAGCTGAGGGAAGGTTGACCTGACTTGACTTTGGAATTACATGATTCAGAGGGCCCTCTAGGCATGATTCTCTGGTAACTGCTCTGAACTATTTTATTTTGGGGCCATAGATCCAGGAACAATCAGGGATTATTCCTGGCTCTGCACTCATGAATCATTCCTGGTGGGCTCAGGGGGCCAGATGGGATACTGGGGTGACTATCACTTGGCATCCATTACAGACTGCTTCTGAGATTTATTTTTTTTTTTGTGGGTGCTAAGTGAATAGGAAAGAAATGATCTGAAACTAGGCTAAAACAAGATTTTTAGGGCAAGATCCACTCCCACAGACCAAATGCTCATTTGAGGAAGGGATGGGCTAGGTTGGGAGAACACACAGAGGGCTTGTTCCACTCCTTCCCCCCTTTACTTTTTTTTATTTCCTTTGTTAAACACAGGCTGCTTTAGCTTCCTGTGCCTTTATCAGCTGTGTTAACACTCCCTAGTTTCCTGCCACAGTTGCAACATCTGCCAGCAGCGGAAGGGAAAGAGGAAGCTGTATATCTGCAGAGGACTCGACAGAGGGGTGGCAGAAAGAACGAGGTCCCCTAGGAAGCAGAGCAGTGCAATGTCATTGGGCAAAGTCCCCCCTAGGACTGTTGAGGCCCGCAGAGGGCTTGAGAAGTTGTTGACTAGCTGGCTTTACCCTTCCACCTTTAGACCTGTATTCTGCCCTCCTGGGTGTGGTCAGCAGAATCCAGCAGACTGATTTTTGACCTTTTAAGTTTTTAGCATGTTTGTTTGGAGCCATGTAAAAGGAAAGCTGGAATGTGATTGAAATAATAATCTTTTCCAGGGAGACATTTGTGTTTTAACTGAATACGTTCGTCTGGGGCCGGTTCAGACACTAGTTTCCAGTCATTTGATCTAGTACAGTTAATCCTTACACACAGGGTGGAGCTGCACAGGTCCAGCAAGAACCAAGCCAGCTGCAAGCTACTAATGTACCCAGTACCTGTGATCGTTCTATTTTCCTCAACTGGCAACCCTCCTTGCAAGTTGGTCTTGAGCTTAGTTAGCATGCCACCCCCAGCCTATCTCTCACAGGTCTTAGCTCCTTCTGAACAGACTCTTCAGATCCTTACATAAATCCTCCCAATTCCTCAGCCTGTGCTGGGGAATTGAAAAGGCTGCCCTACCCAGGTCGCCAAAGGGAGATGAAAGCAGGAGCAAGAGTGTCACTGTTGAGGCCTGACATCTAACATCTGCTTGGCTTACCTTGGTCTCAGTAACTGCTGCCTTAAGTGGTTGAACGGGCAGGGCTGGTGTAAGGGACTGGCAGATGGTCATGGGCATCTGAGTTAGTGGGGGAGTGTGGAGGGGCCTTACCAGTGACAGTGTGGGTCCCTGAACAATTCACTGTGGACTCGATTCAAAACTCAAGCCTCTCACCTGGGGTATTATCCAACAGGCACTGAAGAAGAATTTCTCCTTTCTGTAAGACATTCTCCGTTAGGGGCTGGTGCTCATCTATATCTTTCTTAAATTGCTTGAGGCATACCAGAAAAAGAAAGAAATTCGTTAGCATTTTGTTTTGAAAAATGATTCAAAGTGAACCCATGCAGGGTAGCTTGATTCTCCTCTAACCTAGTCTTAATTATTTATGCTTTTGGGGCCACAACCAACAGTTACTCAAGGGGCCATCTGGGATGCTGGAGATTGAACCCAGGTTAGTCATGTGCAAAGCAACACCCTACCCACTGTACTATCCACTCCCAAGAAAGTCCCCAACAGTTAAACTACTGTTAAACTACAGCTTAAACTAGCTTAAGGTAAATAGTGTCACTTCTTTTTCCATAGTTTCACATAGCTCTCTTTCCCACCCCGACGTGTGAAGAGCTTTTATTTCAATTTTTTTTTTGTGAAGTGCTTTTAATCAAGGTTTCCCTCTTGGACCACAATTCATAGTGGTCTCTTTAAACTCGCGGGGCTCAGATTCTCAAAGCAGACTTTCATCCTAACGAACCTGGGAAGAGCTACAAGAGATCTATTATTATTGGCCATAGGCTGCTATCCGCATCCTCCAGATAACCTGCCTTCGCTTAGACAAGGCATCAGGGAAACCACTGAGTGTCTGTTTTACTCTTAAGTTTACTGTTAAGAGTAAACTGCTTCCAGTTTTCCCTTGTCCTAATAGCTATACTATTTTTTTTCTTATATGCAATTCATATGCTGCCAAAAACTGAGTTGACACAAGTTCAAGTATTTAAGATAGACACCAATTAAGCCATCAGGCACCTAAGCACGTAGCTCTTATGAAAATGTATAAACCATGCGCCATTCTATATGGGATAGAGGTGACTATTCTGTACTAAAGTCGTGTAGGTGACTCCCAAGAGCAATGTTTCACTGAACTGCAGGGGCTGACCTCAGCTCTGCTCTCCACAGAATACGACAGCTCCTTCTGGCTCGCATGAAACTCAAGGAGCACAGTTTTTCCTCATGGGATATAATACATGAAGGCCAAAAAATCTACTTGGCACCCACTCACACTGGTGGCGCTGAGGCAGACCAGAAGAAAAGGCAACAGAGATGTATGCAAAAAGGCAAATTTCCTCTCTCACAGTGTGGCTCCTCAGTTGTCTGCATGCATATGGGACCACAGAGGTCCTCAGGTTGACAGGAACTACTCCAGAGAGCAGGACAAAGCATTCCCACAGGGTGAGGGAGAGCGCCCCCTGGAGGTCTGACTTCTAATTCTAATTTCTTCCAAATTGTAAAACAAAGTCCCTGCCTCCCTGGCAGGGTGTGGGAACACGTGACCCAGCTCAGCCTAGGGATGGGTAAAGCATGCCCTCTTCCGTTGAAGATATACTCCCGGTTACTGTAAAGTAGTGGACATTCAAAAATTGTTACAGAAAAAAACTTTTCATATAGCATGCAGATCCTATTTCTTCTCCAACACAGTTTGGCCAACCAGTGCTGGAAGCCAGATGACAATACTGTGGGTACTTCTAAAATCTATCATCCGGGGGCTGGAGCAATAGCACAGCAGGTAGGGCGTTTGCCTTGCATGTAGCCAACCTGGGTTCGATTCCCAGCATCCCATATGGCCCCCAGAGCACGACAGGGGTGATTCCTGAGTGCAGAGCTAGGAGTAGCCCCTGTGCATCGCCGAGTGTGACCCAAAAAGCAATAAATAAATAAATAAGATCTATCATCCAATTAAGAAAACTGAGGACGAAGATAGGCAGCTCTTGGTACATCCACCTGCCTTGTGCATATCCTAGAGTCTCAGCTCAGATCTGTATGGACAGACAGTGTTGTAAGACAGAACTTTCTGGAGTGCTGAAAAATCTGAACCTCTGATTTTACTTAAGTAGCACATGTAACTAACCGTTCTAGGGACTGTACTTATCAATCCCTGAGACATCTAGGAAATGTTTACTTCGCAAATCAGTGGGTTTTTTTTTTTAAATGGGTAATCTATTTACTCAGGTCTCTGGCCTTGAAGATAATTCCTACATTTTCAGTTTCACAGAATGTAGAATTGAAAAAGACCTCGGATTAGATTTCAGGTGAACAGCTGAGCCACACAGACATCCATTACTTGAGTTTACTCTAGAAGTCATTTAGGCACCACTTCCAGGCGCAAACAGCCAGGCCCGCATATTACCCGGTAAAGCTGCAGAGAAGACTTGAGACCTGTAAGATTGGACTTGGGTGGTGCCAAGTGGTTGGTAATGTCTGCTACATTATACAGCCAGAGGATCAGCTCTTCCAGCTGACAGCAGAATGTCTGTGTGGACAGAAGAACACATGATGTTAACTGATGAGCTGTTTATATTCTCTATGACTAAAAATATCTGGGGGACTCCAAGAGCCGACTGTGCACCTTGCTAGAACTCTCCTGTCTTGAAGGCATTCCTCTCCCTGCCCGCTGCCACCTCAGCACTCCAGACTCTGCCAGGCCAATATGAAGGGTTCCCACGTTGGTTCCATCTCCCCTCATCCTGGTATAATATCAAAATCTAATAGGCTAGAGGCTGGAGCAGTGGTACAGCAGGTAGAGCGTTTGCCTTGCACGCGGCCGACCCATGTTCGATTCCCAGCATCCCATATGGTCTCCTGAGCACCGTCAGGGTAATTCCTGAGTGCAGAGCCAGGAGTAACCCTTGTGCATTGCCGGGTGTGACCCCCCCAAAAAAATCTAACAGGCTAAACACAGCCAGTACTGAATGTGGGAGTAGAGCCACGAAGGCAAGGGCGAGTGCAAGGGCAAGGAACCGCCCAGAAGTGGCTGGCTTGCCACAGAAACCACCTCGAGTCAGCACCACTGCCAGCTCTGGAATGATTCCTGAGGCAGCAGTGTACATGACTTGATCAAGGCGAAGCCGAACCCACAGATGAAACCTATCTGTCCTTGTTTTGCTCCCGCTCTATTGAGGAAACTGGGTGTCTAGAATCCCACCAGGTGTGAGCTACACACCTGACCAGTCTCCCCCAGTCCTACAGAGAGTCCTGTTTCTTAAAGGCCCAGTGATGCACAGGGCACTGGACAGCCCCGCACCCTCCCGAATGCCAGGGAACAGTTGGGGCATCCTCCCACGCCTGCTGGGTGGCTTCGTGCTTGCTGGGCTTCTGAGTGAGGATAACACCTCCTGAACCTCCCATGTCAGGTGGCACAAAGCCCTCAAGCACTCATTTCATGCCCCCACGCAACAGCTCAGAGGCAGGGCTCCACATTCTGCCAAGGTGCAAAGGAAACTGGATCAGGCCTCAAGGACAGCTGCGCCGTGCGGCTGCCCAAGGCCCATGGCCTGTCACAAATGTTCTAGGTCCTACAAAGGGGCCATGGCCAGAGGCTAGGACAACGGCCTGCGGAATGGTCTGGACTCGGCAGTCACACCACTTTGCCCAAGTTCCGCTCTGCTGAGCCCCGTGACCTCCGAGAGGCACCTTGGTGAACAGCCTGGGAGGAGTTAGGAGCTCAGGCCACAGCTCCCACTGTCCCTGGCTGGGCAGGTCAGAGGCACTGTGGCCTCTCCCTCCCATTGGGCCACGGTGAGTCCTGAGTAGGGAGAAGGTGAACGCAGGAGGAGCAGGTGTGGCCCAGACTGGGCCAGGCCACCATGCTTGGCAACAGGGTCACATTTACCTTCACGCACTGCAGCAACGATTCTCTCCCCTGCTCTCCTCCCTCTCGAGGCGGCCCTCCCACCTGCGGGCCCAATGGGGAGGAGGCCGCCCTCAGCAGTCCTGCGGAGACTCCCCGATCCTGGCTGCTCAGCACACACGGAGCCCCCGCAGAGTCCCGAGCCTGGACAAAGGGGCGTAGGAAACAGGGGCTCTGGGCCGCTGGGGCCCCGGCCCCTCTGAGGGTTGCCCCAGAGGGCAGTTGGCTTTGGCTGGAGTCCGACGGGAGGGAAGTGGGTCCCTCACTGTCCGAGGCCCCTGAGGAGCTCTGAGCATTGGCAGGCCCCAGGGGCGGGCTCCCCTGGGCAGGGCTGGAACCCAGGTATGCGACCAGGCCGGAGACCTGTGTGAGCCGAGTGGGCAGGGCCAGGTATTCGTCGTCACTCTCCACCTCCGCTTCAGCTCGCCACCCTGGGCGCCCCTCACTCTGCTGGCCCCCCTTGTTGCTTCCTGGCCGGGGGGCGGGCCTGTTCCAGGTCTTCAGCTGGGCGCCCAGCTCGAGGCGTCTGTCCCTGGGCAGGCAGGCCGCCGGGAGCCTTGGGATTGGCTCTCGGCTCTCCTGGGGACCATCCCGACTGCCAGTGGCAATGGGGGTCGAGGCAAACGGGGATCCTGACGTGAGCCCCGGGCCACCCTGCTTCGGGGGTGCTCTGGAGGACAGCCGCTTGAGGTGGGGCTCAGCGGGCCCCGAGAAGGACAGGGCAGTTGCCTCTGCTAGCGGGCAGCTATGGGAGATGTTTGTGGGGGACTTGAGGGTGCTCGCGGGGGAGACAGAGAAGCTGTCCAGGTCCACCCCGGAGTCCTGCAGGGCTGGGTCAGCTGGTATGCGGCAGGCACGGTGCTTCAGGAGCTGAGGGCCAGGCCTCAGCGGGTAGGTGTAGTCCAGCAGCTCTTCGTACTCCCTGTTGGGGTTCCAGAGCGGGGAGCGGCGGTCAGGGGAGGGGGGCAGTGAGTCTGGCAGCACGCAGGCCCAGTACTCGGCCTGGTAGGAAAGACGTCTTCTGCCCAGTGCGGGCTCCTCAACACTGGAGGACAGGGGCTGTGACGGCCACTGCAGCTGAGGGCCCGGGCCCAGGGCAGACGGGGTGCCAGGCGGGACCACCAGCTCCCAGGAAGAGGCCACCTGGGCGGGGGAGCCGCCCTGGAGACTGCTGACGGCACACAGAGGGCCAGAGGCCCGGGGACTCCCCGCCTCCCTCCACCTCGACGGGTGCTCCTCCATGTCAGCGCTGTGTCCCGAGCAAAGAGAGGAGGTCATTTCTGCCACTGGGGGGCTCTGAGGGAGCATCTCGGGGGCAAAGGGTCTGGCCTCCTCCATCTGCAACAGTGAGGGGAGAAGAGGCACCAGGTGAGAACATGACCCAGACCAAGCTCCTGCCTCAGGCGACAGAGTGGGGGTGGCGGTTGAGGGAGGGGAGGATGATACCTGGGGAAGGTTCTGGAAAGGAGCAGCCAGGAGCAGTGAGGCCTAGTGCTTTGGCCAGCCCGGGCCGCCCTGGGGGAGCAGGCTGCTATCCCCAAACTCATCAGCCCGCAGGTCCCTGAGCTTTCCTCCAGACTCAGCTATGGGTTCTGCAGCGGGGGCAGCCACCTCCCCTGAGACGCTGGCTGGGGAGCCGCTTACTCCTGGCAGTGCGGAGCCAGTGGGTGTCTGCGCCCCTCACTGGGAACTGCTTGCCTTGATGAGGGCTCAGGGTGTTTGGAAGAAAGCAGAGACAACCCCTGTGCCCGGCTGCTCTTCTAGACACGCATCTTGGGGAGGGCTGGGCAGCGGAGAGAAATGACCCAACTGCTCTTACAGCCTGCTCCCTGGCACCCTCCAAGAGAGGACAGGCTCCCCGGCCACCACAGCACTCAGGAGACTGCAGCCATAGAGGCCTTGACAGGAAGGGTATAAGAGGCCATCAGAGCGGGAAAGACAGTCATGCATGTCACCTTCCCAGCCGACTGGGACTCGCATGGATACAGCTGCACTGCATCAGGGAGGCCCCAGGAGCCCCCTGTGCTTGGGACAATACCTCCCTGGACCCGAGGGGCCATCCCTAAGTCTTCAGAAGTTAACTGCCCTGACCTGTCCAGATGACCCTAGGGCCCCCCTGACCGCCCCACCACTGACCCTGTGAGCAGCAGGCTCTCGGCTGTAGCACCCCAGCACCAGGCTGGGGGTCCCCTGCTGACCCCAAGGCCCCGCCTCAGTGGACTTGAGTGTAGGAGTCACCCCCAGGAGCCCAGACTATGAAACTGCACCCTCACATGGAAGGGGCGAGGGCATGGGGGAGACCGGCGTCACGTGTCCCCCCACCCGCCCAATCCTACCTGTCCTCGTGCAGGCAGTAGTGGCTCCCCAGGAGGCACCAGACCCCCGGGGGCGGGCTCTCGGCCGGGGCTGTTGGCCTGCAGTTGGGAGACTGCCCCACTGCTGCAGGCAGGCGCTGGGCACCCCTCAGCCCCCCAGACGGGGGAGGCAGGGCCCCCCTCAGCTTCCAGGCGGGGCGGCTGCTCCTTGCTCAGGGGGCTCAGGGCGTCCCCCTCCTGCTGCTTGCATGTCCATCGGCTGGAGGGCTCAGCTTCGGGGGCGGCCCCCTGCTCCTCCCCGAGGGCCATGGGCCCAGTGCTCAGGTTTCAGCTCCCTGCAAATGGGAAAGCGAGAGAGAGGGGCTTAGCCCATCTCCAGGGAAGATTCTGAGTTTTCATGATCAAGAGACCATTTCCTTGGCTCCAGAACCTTTCACGGGGAAGCAGAACCTTATCACTGGTTCCGTTTTAAGTGGGTGGTGCAGGCACCCAGGTGGGTCCATCCAAGCTGCTTCAAATCCGAGTAAAGTCTTGGCCCTGCCCTGTCCCCAGGGACCTGGCTTTCCCCACGCTCCGCTCAGGGGACTGGCAAGTCGGGGCCTGCCCAGGCTTCTGCCAGGCCCAGCAGACGCCCCCAAGCCCACAGCACCAGGATGTGGAGCAGGTGGGGGGTCTCAGTCCTACGAGGACCCCCATTAGAGCACAACGGCTCCTCCCGAGCCTGGGTGGTGCTGGGCCCAGGAACTGAGGGGATCGCAGCAAGAGGGGCTGGCTGATCAAAGCGCGAGCAGGGCACAGGCAGCTGGCAGACGGGAGCAGAAGCAGGGGAGCTCTCGGAGTGGGTCCTGTCAACGGAGCCGTCAAAGTGAGCACTTCAGAAGACAGGGAGGTCCCCCTCAGCCTGGCCGGGAGTGCTGGGCCACCGAGGGCTCAGAAGGGAGGTCCCAAGCAGCTGGAGTGAAGGGGCGTGGCAACAGGGCCACCCTCGAAGCTGCTACTACAGGACTAGCTTGGCTTCCCTAGGGACCAAGAGGTGGAGGGGTGACAAGAGGGGCTGATGCAGTGGTGGTGGGAAGCCTGAGGAGGTGGAGGCTGTGGATGCGCCTCGTCCTCCTGGGTCCTGTGATGGGACACACTGGAGGGGCGGTGTGTACCCCAATACTGCTGCAGTCCACTGCCCTGCCCACTTGGGCACATGGGACTCTGCCCAACTTCACATGAACCTTCAGTCACTGCTCATAGCTGCATGTGGGGCAAGAGCTCAGGAACCCACAGCAGAGTCTTCAGAGCGAGCTGGTGCTGCTGACGTGACTTCCGCCCAGCCCGGCCCACAGGCCACCAAAGGCATGAGGTTCTGGGGAAGGTGATGACATAACTGTCCAAGAGGTCATCTTACCAGGCACATAGTTCAGCTGAGGGGGGAAAGCAACCTTTTTTTTTTTTTTTTTTTTGCGCCACACCGGTGATACTCAGGGGTTACTCCTGGCTCTGCACTCAGGAACTGCACCTGGCAGTGCTCAGGGGACCATACGGGATGCCGGGGATCAAACCCAGCTCGGCCTCGTGCAAGGCAAGTGGCCTACGACTGTAGCATCTCTCCAACCCGGCAACTATTTTTCAAATACAGGACAGTCTCCCAGAGAGAAACAGTCTCTGCACTCTTGAGTTTACCTCTCAGGGCTCCCTGCAGACAAGCATGAGCATCCACTTACCCCTGCCTCTTCCCACAGGAAGCAGTAAACTCTGGGATATACTGCTCAGGGCCAACTGCCACAATGACAGGGGCCCCACAATCCTGGTGGCCGGAATGCCTGCAGTTGTGGCTGTGCTGCTCAGGACTTACTTTGCTGGCAGCATTTGAGCCACATACTCGGGAGATGCTGGGACCACACACAGTCATGCTGCAGGGACTGTGGGCCCAGGGGTCAAACTCTCCAGCAAGACAACTGCTTTACCACTGAGCCATCCCCCCACTCCCTTTCTCAAAATGCTTAGAGATTTTTCCTTAGAAACGAAGAGCCTACACACACACACACACACACACACACACACACACACACACACACACTATGTATACATATATTTTACAAAAATATGTACATATATGGAGCCTCTGCCGGTTGAGTTTCCCTCTCTTCCCCGAGCAGAGTCCCAACAGCTGAAGACCTCTGGGACCCAGCCAAAGCCATGCTGAGACCACTCTCCACATGCTTGGACGAGGAACCGGCAGGGGAACCCAGGTGTGCGGGACCTGGGGCTGTGATCTCCAAGCCTGCTCAGTTCGGGACTGGGCCTCCTCCACCCAGCTCCCCCACTTTCCAGTAGCTAGACAGTTACACCCACCAACTGCCATGTAACCCCATCAATGGCCATCCAGAGACTATAAAACCAAGCTCCCCGGCAGGCTACTGAGAATATCATACCTGCCTATATGCCTGACTAGGAACACCTGCAAAGGTGATTAGAGGCTGCCCCAAAAGCCTCCATCCGTCTTGGAGAGCCCGGCAAGCTACCAAGAGTATCCCGCCCGCACAGCAGAGCCTGACAAGCTACCCATGGTGTACTCGATATGTCAAATACAGTAACAGTGAATGGTCCTCATTCCCCTGACACTGAAGGAGCCCCCAATATGTCATCAGGCTACACTTGCACTTGACAGGGACGAATGGAGACATTACTGGGCCCGCTTGAGCGAACTGAAGAACAACGGGGTGATAGTGATAGTGATGTATATATATATTTATTTTGCTTTTTGTGATGCTCAGCGGTTACTCGTGGCTCTACACTCAGAACTTGCTCCTGGTGGTGCTTGGAGGACCATATGGGATGCCAGGAATTGAACCCGGGTTGACTGCATGCAAGGCAAACACCCTCCCCACTGTACTATTGTTCTGACCCCTATTTCACATTTTAAAATCAGAGTTCAGTAAAGCATTATGTGGTGAGAATGTTCTCTGGCTGATTCCACTGGTCTGGCATCAGTGAATCTCTGAGGTGCTGCCAACTCCACTGTAATGGGGACTTTGGACACGCACGACTGATCTGAGGTCCGCACAGCACAACCCCCCCATGGCAGAGCACCCACACCATGGCCTCTGCCACAAGCCCTCGATGGGGACCCTTGTTCACACACCTCCATGCCAGCATGGGAACTTCTGCAAGAAGCAGGTCCTCTTCTCTGCCTTCACACATGGAGACACCGAGGCTCAGAGATTCTAGTCCATCCTGACCATGTCAACAAGAGAATGAGTGCTCCTTGCCAAAGCACCCTCGGACTGACCAGACCTCAGAAACGCCGGTCTTTGACAGACCCACACCCTCTCCCAGGCCGGCAGCTGTAAACAACAGAGCACTCTGCGGCTCGGGTCTAAGACATTTTACAGGGTTCCAGGAGGCTGAAAGGGAGAGTCAGCCTCCTCCCTAAAGGGGAGCATCCAGAGGTCACACTAAAGGACTTGTGGCCGAGAAGCCTCAACAGTGGGGGATGGGAGGGTGGGGTGGGGGAATCCCCCTCTTCCCTCTGAGAAAGATGGGCATGCTCAGAACTGTTGCCCCGAGCCAAACCCAGAGCCCAGACGTGAGATTTAGGATCCTGGAGGCTCATCTGCAACGTTGCTTCAAGCTCTCCACTGGTTTCCAGATTGTGCAGAGGCCATATGACCCTCTGGATATAATTAGGAGTGACGAGGGCTTGGCTCACTCTCGCCTACAGTAAAAATACACTCCGGCACTGTGTATGTGGAAATGCTAACTGCTCGGCCTGGACACCTGACCCACCCTGCTATCTGCCGCTGGAATCCCGTGGGTGCTGCCACTGATGCCAGGCTAGAGACAGGAGGCCCCAGGGGTGAGGAGACTCCCCTCTCATTAGCCCTCTCCAGTGCCGGAATTACTCAGGAGCAGAACACCTCAGATGCAAAACGCTTTGCCAGGGTTCTCCCATGAGATTTCTGATTTCTGCCGGCTTAGCCCTGAGTGCACAGCCGGCCACCAGACCTGCCACGGAGGCCAGGTCTCGCCTGGCAGAGCCAGTCCTGTCACTTCCGGGGCCCCAGGCCCCACGTCTGTACCAAGCCACTGTCCTGGGGAAGAGATTCTGCACAGACGCAGATCGGGACCCGAGACACACAAAGAAGCCTTGGTGTGGTGGCTCCTCCGAGAACACGGAGCTGCCCCCTCGAGGGGTGGGCAGGGTGTGTGCCCGCATCCTTCAGTGCTGTGGGTTTCTGGGGGAGCCTAATTTAGAGGAGAACAGAGCTTAAAGGCAACCGGATGTGGGAGGCAGCATGAAAAGGCATAGGATACAAATGGGGGAGGCCAACAATGGGGCAATTACAGGAGGCCTGCGCCTGCCTCAGAGCTGGGAGGCCGCCAGAAAGGCCGTGGGCAGTGGCGGCAGACCCATGGCCTACTGGCAAGGGCAAGTGCCAGGTCCTGGAGTGCCTGGGGGCAGGTCAACCTGAGCGCCAAGCACCCCTCCCTCTCCTCCTCTCCCCCCCCCCCACACAAAGTGGAGAGTGGGCAAAAAGGTATGGAGCTTGGGCTGTGCTGTTGCCAGGCCCCATGGTCCCAGCAGCCCCCCCACTCCTCCCCCAGGTGGGCTATACTGGGCTCTCCCTAGATCCAAGATTCCCTCTGTGTCTGGACCCCTTTAGTGCAGTTACCACACACATGTGGCCTACCGCCCCCTTTCCAGGAAATACACTTTCCTAAGGGAGCCAACAGCGGGCTTCCCGCTTCCCCACCAGAGGTTACTTCTGCTCCCTGGATGGTTCCTGCACCCCAGGGCAGCTCACTCCCCGTGGGAACATTGCACCAAAGCCATGTGGTGGGAGCCCCCCCACTCCCCCGCCACCACTCACCTAGCTAGTCAGCTGGTCATGCGGTCTTCAGGAGGCCTGTCCTTAGAAGAGACACAACTGCCACATTCTACAGGAGCTTGGCTGAGCTCCCAGTCGCCCCTCCCCGCACCCCCAAGCTCTTAGGTTTCCTCTCAGGTCAACAGATTGTTCCTGTGAGGCGATGAGGATGCTGAAGTTTGATTGTCGCTCAACTGGGCCTTTTGTTCCCACCTCCCAGCAAGGCAGAAAAACTGCTTTCCGGAAACAACAAAGGCCCCTCCTGCCCTCCAAGGTTTCCCTGTCCAGACCAGTTTGGAAGGTCGAGGACAGAAGGAAGCTGATTATCTCAAGAGATGCTATTAAGAAATGGTGTTCAGTGCCTCCTCCCCAGAGCACCCAGGGGAGGAGAACTCTCTACTCTCACTACCAGAAACAGCTATTTCACCCAGCAACCAGATTGTTATTACTTTATAGGGACTGGCAAACTTGATCAAATGTTCCTCTTCGCTTAGGCTGCTCAGATCCCAATCCTCAATCCCACACAAGTCACGTGTAGAGAACGAGAGGCACTCACTCACCTTTGTGCTTTGGTGATTCTCTGACTTTTCTTTACTTTTTGGACTACTTCCTCTTAACTTTTCCTGGAGCCTGCTTGAGCTTGACTCAATTTTTACTAAATATTGTGTCATAATAAAAGTAGCACTGTAGCACTGTCCTCCCGTTGTTCACCGATTTGCTTGAGCAGGCCCAGTAACGTCACCATTGTGAGACTGTTGTTACTGTGTCTGGCATATTGAATACGTCACGGATAGCTTGCCAGGCTTTGCCGTGCAGGCAAGATAATAAAAGTAAACAGAGGAATTGTTAAAAACAATAAAATAATACATGGGTAAAGGTCGGAGAGCTAGTACTGGACTTAAAGCATTTACGTCACATCCAACTGACCCAGGTCTGAATCCCGAGAACCACATAAGGTCCCCAGACACCATCTAGGATCATTCCTGAGTAGAGCGAGGTTATGAGCCAGGTTATGTGGCTCAAGCCCCTGCCCCCTAAATAAACACGGGAAATGTTCCTAAATTCAAAACTTTATAAGAAAAAAAACAACAAGCCCTGGGGCCAGTGAGCTAGTACGGGGGTTAGGGCACCAGTCCTACAAGCAGCTGACTGTAGTTTGATCTCCAGCAATGTCTGAAACCCTGGAGTGACCCCTGAGCACAGAACTGGGAGCAGCTCCCAAGCACCAACAGGTGTGGTACAAATTGCCCCCAACATACACACACACACACACACACACACACACACACACACACACACACACACACACCCTCTGAGGCTCAAACACCACCAGGTGTGATACAAATTGCCCCCAACACAACACACACACACACCCTGAGGCAGAGGATGGCTGAGGAGGTGACAGTGACTGCCAGTGTGATCTAAGTTCTGTTCAGGCTGCTTCCCACAAGCAGGAGCCTGGTCCCAGTGTTTGGGACCCCTCCCCCACACAAACACACACTGCAGGGGTGAGCGAGCTCCAGAGCATTGCAGCCTAATACACGAGCACAGCTCAAATGATGCGTGGTACCCCTGGTGAGCACCGCAAGTAAAGGTGTGCGACCTCCACAGTCAGGAGCATGAGTCCCGGGGAGCATGTCTGAGCACCCCAGGGACCCCACAAGCATTACAATCACCACAAAACATTCAGCCCCGGTGCATGCAGGTGCAGGTACTGCAACTAGGGACAGGAGTACCAGCACTGAAGCTGAGTGTGCAAGTCCAGGGAGCACCATAACCATGTACCTGTGTGAATGTGGGTGCACATATACACGTGACAGCGCCCCCTCTGCCTCCCCCCCTCCCCCCCCGTTGTTGCAACAGCACACCAGAGCGGGAAGGAGAACCAAAAGAAAACAAAACCAATTACCAGTTTCTAAAAGGCAAATGCAGATTCTTGTCAGCACCCTTTCACATAAAAATGCCATCTTTGAAACTTAAATGGATGCAGGTCCTCAGGTCCCAGAGTCTTAGAATCAAAATTCAGGGGGGCCAGGTGAATAAGCAGGCCTGTTCCAGCACTCAGAAAAGCAGCATTTCTACGGCTTTCCAACCACTTGCTCCCTCATGCCAGGCACACAGGAAAGGTATGGCACAGATCCCTCAGAACACTGCAACAGGATTAAAAACCTCACCCGTACGGCAGGTTTTCACTGCAATTACAGAAGGGCACAGCTGGAAAGAACCTCCAGAACGAAGAGCAGGCCACTGAGGCATTTGGGACCCATAGTGGCCACACTGAAAAGCAGAGCCAGAACCCAGTAATCTGCAATCTTACAAGTGAGGAGGGGAAAGGTAATCTATTTTTGGAGACCCCAAATAATTTCAGGGAAACTGCCATGCCTAGAGCTGGAAGGAAGTGGACAACTTCCAACATCGGCTGCTTCCTGTAACCAGAAAGCCAGGCAGGTGCAGGAAAGCCTTGATGGGGAGCTGTGCCCCACTGGGGTGTAGCTGCCACCTGTGTGTCAGTCTGGCAAGATGGTCTGAAGCCAACAGGAAGCTTCCTCCACAGTTCACAATTCTTGGGAAGGACTTTGAAGTGAGTTTCTTCCAAGTGGGTCCCCCACTGAGAGAGAACAGATTTCAGCTATCCAAATCCCAACAGAGGTTTTCCTCTCTAACTAAGGGGCTTATTTGCTACATCAGGCCCCATCTGTTTTTCTCCTCTGTTCCTACACCAACCCTTCAAGCACCGGAGCACATTAAGAGTGTATCAAGCAGTACTGTACTACTTGACCAAAGCGTGATTTGGCTTTAAGCAAGCTTTAGCAAGGCTCCAAGTGCAGAAACGTTTATCTTCTATGGAATTCTTTTATTGTAGGGCTAACAGGGGAAATCAGAAAAGGCTGAAGGGATTTTTTTTTTAATATAGAAAAAATAAGGACCAAAAGGCAGAGAGAACTTGGAGAGTAAATATTATAAAGATAATTAGTAGTAGTGGCTCCGTTTCAAGTATCTGTTTAATTTTGTCCTAACAACTCCGAAGCTTTTTTTTCCCTGGTGCCATGAATTTATATCAATAATTTAATACTCAGGACCCATGAACTTTGAGAACTCTCATTTTATGATGGGGAAAATCCAGGCAGAGAAGTGACTTATCCGGAGTTGGTAATACGGCAGGTTTAGCTCGATTTGAATCACTGCCAGAGCTCAGGTGACTTCCTGAACTGTAAGACTAACTGGTCCCACAAGTGAAAGAAATCTAACGGGTTGTTTTTTTTTTTTTCTTGGTCAACTTCTGGCTACAGAGCTGATTTTTCTTGTTTGTTTTCTTTGGGCTTCAATCACTGAGCGCCTTGTATGTTCCCAGCATTGTACCAGGAACCACAATGGTACAGTGTGATGTATAAAAACAGAAGCAGCAGAAGGGGGTCCAAATTATTAGCTGGAGGCTGGGGCAAGATGGGCGAGGGGCAGCTTTCCAGAAGAGACCAGAGTTCTCTGCTCTTCCTGTGGCAGTAGCTCTTAAGGGACCGGGTGGTGGAGGGAACGGGCATTAAGAGAAGTAGTGGCTCCACTTCTCTTAACCAAGCTCCAGGCAAACTCACCGTGGTGCATTGAAACATCCTCTACACCCAACCTGTAGGAAGGGTCGCGGTACACGTGAGAATGCCCGTTGTCCTGCCCACCACATGGAGGAGCTCCCAGTGAGGTCCAGTCCACTCTGGCATTACCTTGCCATTTTGCCATTTTTTACTGCAAACAACACACCGAACCTTCCACCTAAATAATTATCCTTGAAACGGGACTGGGAACCCGTGCCCGTGGGCTGCTAGGACGAGTTCTGGCGATGACGGTGAGAAAATGTGGCCCTCCTAGGCCAAAAAAAAAAAAAAAAAAAAAAAATCTTGCTCTTTCCATTGGCACCGTGGCGGCTACCAGGCATCTCTGCAGTGGGCATGGCCCTGAGCGGGCTGGTGAGAGGGAGGTTTATATTAAAAAAAAAAAAAAAAGACGAGGGGCTGCCGCTCTCTGGGCCACCCTGGGTACCCGCAAGGACACAGGGCAAAGAAGGCGCGTCTGGGAGCGAGGCCGGGATTTCGGGCACGGGCGACGGCGCAGCTGCTCGGCGGGTAACACGCGTGCACCCGCGCGCGCCCCCCGCACGCACCCCGTCGCGCGGGGCTTCCCCAGCCCCGCTCCCGCCTCCGCGCCCCCTGTGAGATGAAGGCGGGGGCGCGAGCAAAGCCTTTGTGCCCTTCTCCGCGCGGGACGCGAGGCCCAGCGGCCCGGTTCCGCAGACCCGCCGGGGCAGAGGGGCCGCGGGTGGCGCTCGGCGGGGCGGGGGCGTCCCCTCACCCCCCCAACCCCCACTCCGAGATACCGCCCCCGCGCGCACGCCGCTACCTACCGTGGCTCGAGCGCCTCGGACGCGCGGAACGGGCTTGCAGCAGGCGCCCCGGGCTGCGGCAGCCCCATGCGGCGGCCTCGAAGCCGGGGTCCCGGGCTGAGATCACGGTCCCTTCGCCCGTGCCTGGTGCGTTTAGGGCGGGACCTGGCGCCGGCCACGCCCTTCAACCCCGCCTTCCTCCGCAAAGGGGAAGCCTCCGGCGGGCAGCGCGGCCAATCCAAAGTCTCAGTTTGGAAGGTTAGCCAATAAGCGACTCGCTTCTGCAAGGAGAGCCCGCCCCTGAGTAGTTTTAGCCTATGGGAGGTCGGATCTTCCTCGGGCCTCGCTTTCGGCGCTCCAGGCTCGGGTTACGCGGTTGCCCAGAGCAGGTCGCGTTAGGGCAAGTTGTCTGGGAGGGCGCCGAGGGGTGCGTGCCTGGGAGGGGATGCGCGCGGAGGTCCGTGCTCTGCCGCCACGTGACCCGCACCCCGATCCTCGCGCGCGCCGTTACGTTTTGCTCTGGGCGCGCGTCTGCTTCTGGCGCGCTGCTGCGGGGGAGGCGGACCAACGGTCTGCGTCTGTGCATTCGCACTAGAACTCCCAGGGGGTGTGACCGAGGCCGAACAGGTGCCGTGGGGCTTAAGCTCTGGAGAGGGCAGGTCGCGAGGTGACTGGGAGGTGAAACGTAGACAACCTTTGAAAGGATATGAGGGATGTAGGTAAAGGAACTGAGAGCTACTTAGCAGCTTGGTTCGATGGGCATTTGCGAGAAAGGGAGTGCCAGCCTCTGCGAGGCCACTCTGCTCGCCCAGGAGAGCTGGAGTTGAACTGGAGCTGAGCTGGAACGAACAGGAGCTGAGCTGGAGCAGTTGCTGAGCTGGAGCTGAGCAGGAGCAGGAGTTGGAACTGGAGCTGAGCCAGAGCTGGGACTGGAGCTGAACTGGGACTGGAAGCTGAGCTGGGGCTGGAGCTGAGTTGGAGCTGGAGCAAACAATATCAGAGAGCCACTGAGGGGAGGTTCCATAGGCAGGGAAAACACCATAAGGCTGGAAAAGCCAAGAGCAGCAGTGAAGTGGATGGGTTTTACAGATGTCCAGACCACTTCTACCTCCACGTGCAATCAGACACATGTCTACCTCTCCGTTCCTTGCACCTTTTGAGAGGTCTAGGAGCCTCAAGTCAGCAATTTTAATAAATACATTTTTAATATTTTAATTGGAGGTGTCAGCAAGCTACCAAGAGTATCTCACCCAGCCGGCAAAGCCTGGCAAGCTACCCGTGACATATTCGATATGCCAAACACGGTAACAGCAAGTCTCACGATGGAGAAGTTCCTGGACCTGCTCGGGCAAATCGAGGAACAACGGGAGGACAGTGCAGTGCAGTGCTATTTTAAGTGGGGGAGACATACCCAGCTACACTCAGTGACACTCCCATTGGGGCTCGGGGGACCATATGGGAAGTCTAGCAGCATGCAAGGCAAATGCCCTACCCGCTGTATTATTGTTCTGGCCTCTCTTTTGCTTTTAATGCTCAGAAGAATCATGGGGTTTCAAAGAACTACCTCCAGACTGGGGTGGAGGAGGGACTCACACAGTACCTCTGTCTCATCCCCTCTTCATTTGGGTGCTTTTCTCCCAGAAACATTTTCGGGATTGCCCCACCCTGAAACAGATCTCTATTCCCTGGTTGCTCTTTTAGGGGGCACTGGGACTTGGGAAACTTCAACTTGTTGGATTTTCCTGGACTTCTCACGTTTGGTAGAAATTTTATCAAACCCAGAAGTACAAACTTTTGTCAATAAGAATAGTTTACCCACAAACGGTTTTGTTTGGGCAGAACAGTGGTCTTATTTCCTTTTCTGTTTTTGTTTTGGGGTAATACCCAGCTGTGCTCAGGGATCACTCCTAGTGATGTTCAAGGACCATATGCAGTGCTGGGGATCAAGCCAGGGTCTGCCTTGTGCAAGGCAAGTGCCTTAACCTCTGCACTATTGCTTTAATAATTTTTAAAAAATAACCTAATTTTAAAATTCTCACTGAAAAAAATTTCTTCATCTGGGGAACCAGAGCGACAGTACAGTGGAGAGAGCGTTTGCCTTGCACATGGCAGGTTCAATCTCCGTCATCCCATATGGTCCCTGGAGCCCACCAGGAGTGATCCTTGATGCAAAAGCAGGAGCAAACCCTGAGCACTGCTGGGTATGATCCCAAAACAAACCAAAAATTCTCTCCCCTAATTCTGAAAGATCATCAAAAGGAAAGCAAAAGAAAAGTTCATATTACAAAGTGATAATTTGGGAGGGATAGATTGACCAGTGATCATGTGCAACCCCAGATGTAATAATTGACTAAGCCACGGGCACTCCATCTTCAGGAATGAAGTTGACTGGAAACAGTATATTCATTCAGAGTCCAAGTCCCATCGCCACTTCACTGATGACCAGGTTGCCAGAGGGAAGTTGTGCACTTATAAAGGAGAAACAGCACTTTTTCCACATTAACCAATTGATCAAACACCACTAATAATGGAACTTCCAAGCTTTTCAGAGGTTTATCACAGAAATATTTAACTTCACTTCGTATAAATACGCGATATAAGGCATATCAGGATAAGTTCAATAGCACCACAAGGATGAATAAAATAAAAATTCCACTCTATCAGAATAGCAGAAAATATTCACACACAACTTATTCAACAACTAGCCAAGACATGAAAAGCACTCACAGGACTTAACAACAAAGAAACCCACCGGAAATGGTCAGCAGGGAGGTGGGGGGAAGGCACTAAAATAATACTTCCTCAAAGATGACAAAAAACACCAACAGGGCATTTGGAAAAAGTACTTATCATCCCTGATGATCTGCACTGTACTGTAGCACTGTCCTCTCGTTGTTCAGCGATTTACTCGAGCGGGCCCAGTAATGTCTCCATTGTGAGACTTGCTGTTACTGTGTTTGGCATATCGAATATGTTATGGGTAGCTTGCCAGGCTTTGCTATGCGGGCGAGATACTCTCGGTAGCTTGCCGGGCTCTCTTAGAGGGGAAGAGGAACCGAACTTGTATGCAGGTCGGCTGCATACAAGTCAAACACCCTATGCAAATGAAAAAATGACAACAGGTCAATGTCCCTGGGACTATTGTCTGGGTCAGCCTCAGTGGAGGATTACTAAGACTTAAAAAAACAAATAAACCTCCCTGGCTTTGACTGAGAATAAGATATATTTGCCTCTTTGGCACTACTCCAGTCTCCTAGGAGGGACATGGTGGTCGGTCGGTTGGTGGCTGTGTAATGGAGGGTCTGGTGAATCCACGTGTTCACTGACAAGCCCTGGGCTTGCACATGCTTGGGAGAGGAGCTCCCGCAGCCTCTTCATGACCTCTGAGGTGGCCTAGACAGAACCCCCACTGCACAGCTGTCTCCCAATCTGGGGCTTTGGAGAGCACTTGAGAGGCTTCTGTGAGAGGACAAGGTGGAGGAGGAAACAGCAGGCTTCTTCACTCTTATCTCACCGAGGAAGCGAGACCAGACCCTCCTCAAGGACACTACCTGGGGATGTCATGGCCAAGAGGCTGCCCAGAAGAGGAGGCGCTGTATTGTGGTGAGTAGAAGTCCTGAGGCTGAAACTCAGAATTCAGGGCTGAAATTGAGGATGGCACGGCTGGAGCTGGAACCTCTGAGCTGCTGCTGGAGCTAGCTAGAGCTGGGCTGAGCTAAGGGCAGGAACTGGAGCTAGAGCTGACCTGGAGCAGGAGTGGGAGCTCAGCGAGAGCTGGAGCTGGAGCTGGAGCAGAGCTGGAACTAGAGCTGAGCTGGAGCTGGAGCTGAGCTGGAACTAGAGCTGAGCTGGATCAAAGCTGGAACTAGAGCTGAGCTGGAGCAAAGCTAGATCTGGAGCTGGAGCAGAGCAGGAACTGGAGATGGAGGTGAACTGGAACAGGAGCAAGAGTCGAGCCGGAGCAGGAGCTGAGCTGGAACAGGAACTGAACTAGAGCTGGAACTGAGCTGGAGCTGAGCTGAGCTGGAACAGGAACTGAGCTGGTGCTGGAGCTCGAACTGAACTAGAGCTGGAGTAAGAGCAGGATCAGAAGCTGGAACTGGAGCTGAGCTGGAACTGAGCTAGGGTTGGGGTCTGAGCTGGGGCTGGAGCAATTGATATGGGAGTGCCACGGAGGGAGGTTCCCTAGGCAGGGAAGAGATTGAAAGTCTGGGAAAGCCAAGAGCACTAAAGAAGTGGATGGGTTTTACAGGTGTCCAGACCACTTCTACCTTGCTGTGCAGTCAGACACTTGTCTGTCACTTGGTTTGATCCTTTCTTGGTTCACACTTGTTGACACTTGGGGTAACATTTGTTTTGGGGATCCAACTCAGGTCTCCCATATGTGAAGCATGATTGTCTGCTCTTTGAGATGTGTCTCCAACCCCTAACTTTCTCCCTTCACGACATCTTCTGATCATTGAATGTGTAATCACAAAATAAATACAAAACCATGGCACTGCCTCTCTACCTGTGTTCGGCGGTCTGGGGCTGCTTCTCCCGCCCGGGACGGTTGATGGCAATGGGCACATGAAGGAGGGCCACCAGGCTGGTTGGTGATCAGTTGCCGTTTATTCCATTCTCCCCACATGCCTGTTCCAGTCTCACTCGGCTCCCCATCCCAGTCTCACACTGCTCTCATTCCCATCTCCTCCTGTCCCCCATGCTAGTCTCGCCGCACTCCATCTCGCTGCATTGGTCTAGCGCCCACCTCCAAGCACTGGGGCAAGATCCAGTGTACAGTCAACAAACGAAAGCCCTTTCTTCTAATCTCCTTCAGTTCAGGAGATCCGCTCAAGGGGGAAATACCACCCACTGGTTTGTTTTTTCTTTCCTTAGTCCAATAACCATTCAGGCATTCATCTTAATTCTACTTAATATTAGTCGTTTTGTATGGACACAATAAGAGATACATTAAGCTTGCAGGGTGGCTCTCCTGGGGACATCTCGCTATAAGCTGAGAAAGCAGATGCTCAGGAGTGAATATTATTCAGAGTCAATTTTGTAACTCCCAAGTTAAAAAAGCATAACATTAACTGTCTTTCTGTGTCTATACAAAAAGGACATTGCTCTGAAGTAAACTATGCAAAAGGACATAAGAGAAGGAGAAAAGTAGTATTTCACTTACA